GGGTGGGGGGCAGACACCCAAGCAGGCACTCTGGGCTTGTGGGCAGGGCTCACCCTGAACTCAATGCCTCTGTCTCTCCTCTGGGAAGAATTCCTCGTAAAAAGGGTGAATGGAGAACTTGGATGGGGTGGGAGCAGGTGTCTGGGCGAACACAACATCTGAGCTGCTAGTTTCAGCAAAAGGAAGCCCTGCCTCATCCAGGGAGCTCCGAGGCTCTTTAGGCCAAATTGGGAGGCCTGCGGTGCAGAGGAGGGACTGGGTCTTGCTTGCACCCAGTAACAGATAACAGGGAGATCCTGAAGTCAGGACCAGGACTGAAACAACTGGCTTGTCACTGTTAGGCAAGTGTTGGGTCAGTGACTTGGCCAAGTCACTTTACCTCTCCAACTGTGCATTCCCTGTTGGTAAAATGGGATTGATAATGCCGGACCTCAGGGCTCTGGAGAGAGGACTGACCTCTCTCTCCAGGCACATGGCACCTGCTAAGAATTCCAGGCACATGAAAGACATTGTGCAAACAATAAAACTAGAAGCAAGGAACCAGGATTAGAATTCGAGTCTCTTGGGGATGGGGTGTGGGAGAGAGTGTGCAAACCCGCACAGTGGGGGTGGGAGCCCGGACAGAGCTACGGGCCTAGGTAGAGGGCATTCTAGAGAGAGGGTGGGAAGCCTCTTAATTCCTGGAAGCTCTTTCCTTGTCACTCCATCAGCTGGAACTCCTTGAGCAGTTCCTAATCTGGCCCCAAAGCCATGGCCCACGGTCGTCCTGCACGAACCAGACTCACTGGGCCCACCGAGTGGGCGTCCAGAGCCCGTGAACCCAAATATTGGGCCAGAATCGCGCACTCGTGGTGGGATGTCAGAACTGGAAGCACCTTTAGAAATCAGTCCAAAAAGTCCTATTTGACAGACAGGAAGTTTGGGGCCCAGGCGAGGGCTCATCCTGATCAAACCACACAGTTGGTTTGTGGGGAGCTGGGATCTGAACCCCAGTGTTCCGACCCTCTGCCTACATACAGAACTAGGTGACTGATGATACAGCCACTGGGCTGGATGTGGTCCCCAAGCCTGGGCCTGTCCCCAAAAGGGTTTTTGTTTTTATTAAACTACTTGGGTGAGAGGAATGAAGTCCAGGTTAAAGAAACAGATGCAAACCATTTTTGTGCTTCTCTTCTAGTGCAAGTGTCATCCTCCAACTGTTGTTTCGTCTTTGTGGAGAGGAAGATTCCCCAGAAGATAATCCAGTGTTATAAACCCACCAGCTCCACCTGCTCCCACAAGAGTCTAATGTGAGTGTTCCTACCTTGGTCAGGAATTCCCGACGCCCTCCTCCGGAGAGCGGAAACCAGCTCGCCTGGAATTAGATGGCAGACGCTAGATGGCGCTGATCCACCAGATTCAGGTTTCTAAACCTGGAGCGAGGCCTCCAAAATCTGGGTGCAGAGCTCAGCATGAGCGCTAGGGGGAGCGCCGCGCTTCTTAGCAGGTGCCGGGAGGGAAGCACCCCCTACGCTCCTGCAGTGACTTGTGTTTCTTGGAACCCCAAGGCGCCGAGTATTATATCCTAATATTTTATGCCAGAAGAAGGAATTGCTTAAAAGCTCTAGGAATTACTGTGTAGTGGGAAAAGTGAGGGGGTCATAATTATTTCCTGCTTCCGGATTTGCCAACCTAGAGTCTTAGGTGACCCTGGGCCGGTAATTCTTCTGCACCTCATTATATGAGTACTCCTCTGCACTCCTTATCTGTGAAGTGGAGTAAAAATGATAGCTGCATCACAGGGTCTTTACAAAGTTAGACCAAGGTGGCTTACCCTCGCTACTCGGCATCTATAAAGCATTCATGTATATTATCTTGGCTAACCCTCTTGGGCACACATTTTCATTATCATGAACACCGAAGTTCAGGGAAGTAGTGAGATTTGTCTGCGGTCACCCAGATAATTAAAGTTAGAATTGGTCTATAGTTTGGTTGGACAGTAGCCAAGTTAAAGAGGTGGGCAGGTCAGAAAATAAATACACACACACACACACACACATACATACACATTCACAGTGAATCTAAAGCAATGACTGAGGGTTCCAGATGGACATAGACACATGAAAAGATGGATCAAGGGCCCTCAGAGATATTCTAGGAGGGAAATTTCCATACTAGCTAATCCTTAGAGTGTCTGCAGCCTTTACTCTACCCTAATACAACGAATCATGCTCTCCAGAAAAGGGAGAGACTCAATTTAATTAGCTCTCCCTGAAGCTTGGGTGTTCCTCCCAGCGTGCATGCCACACGTCTCCCGCAATGACTTCATTTTACAAGCCCAGAGCAAGTAGCTTGGGGGCACCCCAAAGCGGGGGATGGGACTTGTGTGTGGCACCCCGGGGGGCAAATCCTGTGACTCAGCTCCTCCTTTGTTCTTTGCCCACAGAATCAAGCTGAAGGGCGGCAAAGAGACATGTGTCTTGGAGACAGCCTCATGGGTTAAACCTCATTTAAAAACTATGAAACCATGCCCGCTAAAGTAAATGTGGGAGGATTTCTTTCCATCCTGGACTCCGAAGACGGCGTGGCTTCACCTGTCCCCCCAGCCCCCCACCCTACACCAGTCCTTCTGCCCAGCTTTGCCAGGTCACGGAGGCTCTGCTCAGTCCTGATAAGCTATGTTGTTGCACTTTATATATTTAAATGTTAGAATCTTCGATCCCTGCCTCTCTGGGCTTCTTGGATCCCACAGGGATTTCAGAGTATAAGCTTGATTGGCAGTGAGAAGCTGGGGCCAGGGGCAGGTGGAGGGGAGAGGGGAGACATGTTGAAACTGATGCCCAAAGAACTGACTTCTTGTCCAAAAGAGCCAATAAATTGCTTGCACTTCTCACTTGACTGACTTTGTCTTTGGGGGTGGGGATGAATGTTGAGTCAGGGCCATGATGGAGATTCTGTTTCCCCTGGCAGCAGGGGAAGGCACAGTGAAGCAGAAAGTGGGAACCCAGGGTTGGGGTTCCAGAAGCCACAGCTGCTCTAGCTAGAGGGGATCTTGTGAGGTCATCCACCTGTAAGATGTTGCTAGCCCGATTTTATAGATGAGTTGCCTGACGGTTGGCGAGGGACAGAGACAGGTCTGAGGATACAGAGCAAGTCAGGGTCTGATCTGGTGTTAGAGCCCAGGGCTCCTGCTTTCGGGTCCAGAACTCTCTCCTGTGTCCCAGGTTGCCCAGTGACTGCCTGATACAGCAGGGGGGGAAGGGACCCTGTGTCTACCGGGCAGATCCTGCACAGCCAGTTAGCAGGACCTCCTCTTGTCCAGGCATGAGTGGATCCTAGGTCTTACAGAGATGCCAGCCCAGCTCATGTGCAGGAGGGAGGCAGTCTTGGGGAGAGAAGGAGAACCTTTCGCCAACATCTGGGAAGCAGAGACCCTGCTCCTGTGGGCCCCCAGGGAGTACAGCAAGCGAGGGAAGTGACTTGTGGATTGCCAGAATCTCAGGACCGGCCCCCTTTTGAGGGCTGGCTCGGTGGCTTTGGGGGAGAAGTTGTCGTGCCCTGTGCTGAGAGAGGCGTCTCTCCTTCCCCCAGCATTGCACGTGTCACAGATCTTGCCCGTTCTTCTTCAACCGCCTCCTCCCTTCCGCCCCCCACGACCCCCCTGCTTCCTTCTCCTCCCTCTTGCTGGGGCCCCTGTGGAGCAGGGAGCTGTGCTTAGCTCTCCCTTGCCAACTCCATCCTGCCCACGGCCACAGGCCACTTTGCCTGGCCTGCCGCTGCTCTCCACCCTCTGAAGGTCCCTCCCTCCCGCCCTCAGAACTGACTCCAAACTCTGCACCTTGCTATTCCAAGTCCTCTACAGCCACACCTCCAGCTTCCTTTCTAAAGCACTCTACCTTTTCTGTTCCGGAACTTAAACTCCGACCATAGGGGTATTTCCTCCAGGCCCTCCCCTGTCCTTTCCAACTTGAGCCTCCTCTAGAAGAATCTTTGCTATGACTGTGTTCTGGTATCCTCCAGGGTCGATGCTAACGAGGACCGGGTCATCTCGTTTTTCCCCTGGATCATTCCAAGGACCACTTGGAGTGGGGAGGCACGGGGGCAGAGACCAATTAGAAGCTGATGCTAGGGGTTGGAGTCATTAGTCTGGAACATGCTAGGCTGCTGAGTCGGGCCCTCTGCAACAGTCAGATGAGCCCAGCTCAGCCACCAACCACCACGAGGTCCTCCCCACAGCCAGCCCCCTCTATCAGCCACCTGCCCCCACCTTGGAGCGCCCCCTACTGGTTGGAAATTACCCTCCCCCAAGAAAACACCACCATGAGAGATTTTATTTTTTCTCTTTAAATTTTTTTATTGTTATGTTAATCACCATACATTACATCATTAGTTTTTGTTGTAGCGTTCCATGACTCATTGTTTGTGCATAACACCCAGTGCTCCACGTAGAACGTGCCCTCTTTAATACCCATCACCAGGCTAACCCATCCCCCCACCCCCCTCCCCTCTAGAACCCTCCGTTTGTTTTTCAGAGACCATGGGAGATTTTAAACACGATGTACTTTCTGCAAAAAGTCAACAATCTTACGAATGGCATTCTCCTTTCTGTAATAACATATTTAGCTGCACCTTGCTTTCACAAGGCCCTCCCCTCCCCGGACTGGAGTAGCCCTTCATCTCCATGATTTGTAGGCACACGCATCGGCCGGGGAGTTAGGCAGGAGACAGATCCGCTGCCTGCAGCTTACAAGGGATGGAACCCTGGCTGATGACAGGAAGCAACTGGCTCAAGGCCTTGCTTTAAAAAAAAGGTCCCCAGTATTCAAAATAAGCCCCAAACCAACAACAATTCAAATAACATTAAATATTACTTAAGACATAGTACATCTTTTGCATCACAAAACAGCACACTATTTGAAACTATAGTAAAATTAGTCCAGGGTCTAGCTGGGGAAGCTGGAGGAGCATAAACAGTCGTTCGATTCTCATACTTGGCTTGGTCTTAGTGTGGCTTGAAGAGTTCAAGTCCTCAGGGTATGAGGTTTTTGATCGAGGTGTTTCACATAATCCTGGACCCACTTCTCCTTTGGGTCGGCACAGATAGCCTTGGCCAGTTTCGTGCTGAAGCTATGGATGAAAGAGGCCTGCACAGTTAGGTGGAAATCAGGGTTTTACCCAAGAGATGCCTCCCTGGACTCTCAAACCTGCCTGGTCCACCCGCTAGAGGGGAGGGGTCCTCTGTGGGATGGGACAGGAGGAAGTCGGGGTGTGGAAAGAAGGGGGACTCTGGAAGTAGTCACTTTTCTCGGAGGCCCCAGAGAAGCTGGCCTGGCCTCAGCCAAAGCAAAGTTGAGACTGTGAGCTAGCACCCATTCAGGGAGCAGGTGGAGGACCCGGCCCTCTCCGGGCCTGTTTATGATGCAGTCATAGTCTGGTAAAATCTTACCCCCCGAGTATAAGATCCCGAAGTGGTCTGATGCCTGTCTTCTGGGGTGGAACTCTGGATCAGGGGCCGTGGGGTGTGGTCAGGTAGGGGATGAGCAGGGTTTTTCTACCTACATGACAGCTTCCCGGGGACAGTGGCTGCTGGTGATTCGATAGCTCTCCAGCTTCCGCAAGGGGATCTTCTTATTGTTAAATGTGAAACAGCAAGTGAATAGGGCGCTGAGTGCATCTAGAAATAAGGTCACAGAGAAAAAGCGTTTTAGGAGGCGCTAGGTTTTCATCAGCTTGAATACGACAGGAAGTGCCTGTAGGGAAAGGGAAGGAAAGAGGTCGATGTGGATCTTATCCACCTCAGGTCCAGCACTCCTGGCCCGGAGCCCTGAGATGGGGGGAGAACTAGAACATCTCAGCTGCGCGGTGGGGATGCATCGTTGTTGACCGGGGAAGGCCAGTGGGACAGGTCCTGGCTCCGGTGCTCCAGATGCAGCATTTGGGAAGCTCAGCCGGGGTCAAAGAAAAGGCCCTGGGTTTGGAGCGAGCGGCTTAGGTTTTCCTCTGGCTCTGCAATGGCTGGAGGTGGGTGGGTAGGACCCCTCCTGTCCCCAACTTGGCCTTCAGCTTCCTGTCTTTAAAATTAGACATTCAAGTGAAGCTCTGAGGACTCCCACTGCTCGAATAGGCTCAGAAGTGGGGCACTGCAGCTTCGGGCTTTCTAGAAGGAGAAGAAAACAAAAAGGAGGAGAGCGAGCGGGAAGGAGGGAGGGAAGGGCTTACCTGGCTGGGCGAGCACCTGGGGGTTGAAGGTGGCGGCTGTGAGCAGCAGGTACAGAAGCATGGCGGAGACCTTCATGTCGGTGGGGAGCAGGGAGACTGGACATGAGCGAGAGCTGGGGGTGTCTGGGCCCGTCTCAGCTTCTCTGCCACACGGGTGGCTCTGCTAGCCTTTTAGAGGAAGCAGAGAGGGTGGGAACTCCCAGAGGGACGTTTGCCTGGGCAGGGTCATGGTCAAGTTAAGATGCCGGGCACTCCTGAATGTGCTGAGCTGGAGATTGGCTACCCGAGTTTTCCAGGAATTTCAAGCAGGAAGTTGCGGGCTGCTGCAGGGCAGGCACACTATCTTTCAGCTGCCCAGGCCACAGAGAGGAAGCCGGAGCACAGATGTGCCACCATTGGCCATGGGAGTGATCCGCGGAGCTGTCCCGTGGGTTGCTTTCTCCACAACCGGAAAAAGAGCACCGTGCGAGGGCTTTACACGGGCGATGTGTTTAGTCCTGACCGGGTGTATCCCGTTATCATCATGCCCATTCACAGATGAAGACGCTGAGGCGTGGGGACCTTAGGTCACTGTCCCAAAGCCTTGTGGGAAGTGAGTGGCGGCACCAGAAGAGAAAGCTGGTCTGTCTACATACGATCACCACGGCCTTTCCCACTGTCTGGGGCACGGAAGATTTTCTCCAAGCAGTTTTATGTGGCAGCATCATACCTGAGATGAATCAAAGCCCGCTTCTGAAGCCAGAGGCTCCTCTTGTGACATCTTTGTGTCCCCTTCTGCCACTCAGGCCCAGAGGGCTATGGTTTGAAGCCCACTGATTTGTCCAGGCCCCTTGTTTTCTGGAAGGACCATGGAGTTTCTAGGGCTCCTGTCGGGAAAGAAGTTGCAGGGTAGAGCAGAGCGGGCTCTTTCTTCTGTGCCTGCCACCCCTCCCCCCTGCAACGAGCATGTAGCCGAGCTGGAGCTTGGGGTGGGCATCCCCATGGGTCCGGTGGGAGGGGGGCAGCCTTGGACTGCAGACCACCTGGCAAGACACTTGGCCTGAGCAATCCATTCCCCATGCTCCCTCCTGGCTCCCAGACTTTGCTTATGTTTTGCACCTGCCTGGAATCGTTTTCCCTCGGCTTTCTAGTCTAGTGGGTCTTTCCCCTCTAGCAAGACAAGTCCGGTGAGGGTAAAAGCACAGAAATAAAAAGCTAGGATTAGTGAAACAGAAAATCATATGCATTAGAAAGGATGGATGGATGCTCAAAATCAGTTCTTGGACAAACCTCTAATGCTCTCCCGAGACTGACCACGGAAAAAAGCAAAAAGCACAGATTGCCACGGCAGGATAAAGGAAGAGGGTGTCGCCACAAAGCCCGTGGACTCCAGAAGGAAAATTGGACCCTTATGCCAATAAATTTAATTTAGATGAAATGGATGATTTCCTAAAAAATATAACTTACCAGACTGCCAAAGAAAAATGAAAAAAAAAAAGTAATTCTAAAACTACTGAAAAAATGGAATCAGTTATTGAAAATCCTCCCACAAAACATCCTCTGGCTCCAAAGCCTTTAATAGCTAGTTCCTTCAAGCATCCCCAAAATAAATAACTCCAGTCTTACACAATTTGTTCCCGAGAAAATCAAGAGTGTGCCCTCCAACTCATGTTACGAGTCTTATGTAACTTTGACACAAACACTTGTCAAAAGTGACGTGAGAAAGGAAGCTTGTCCCTCCGGACACACATTCCATTTTTTTTTTTTATTTAAAGATTTTATTTATTTATTTGACAGAGAGAGACACAGCAAGAGAGGGAACACAAGCAGGGGAAGTGGGAGAGGGAGAAGCAGGCTTCCTGCCGAGCAGGGAGCCCGATGCGGGGCTCGATCCCAGGACCCTGGGATCATGACCTGAGCCGAAGGCAGACGCTTAACGACTGAGCCACCCAGGTGCCCAACACATTCTATTCTTGTCCATCCTCTTCTCTGGCCCAGGAAGCCAAACTATGTGGATTGCATCAGCGGGACTGCAGGTCTTCTGGCTTCGGCTTGGGCTTGGGCACTAGGGAGCTCCTCGAGGTGTGGGAGAGGTGAGGGGCTGTGGGCCTCAGCCTGGATGCAGCCTTCAACCAATGGCTTTCATTTCTCTCTGGGGGGCAAGGTGGGGATGGTATCCCCCGTTCTTTCGTCCTTGGGTCTAGGGGCAGTCCCCACATTGTTACTAGCCTCAGAGTACTAAAACACCCCTTTGGTTTCTCCACACTCAGCCCACATCTTGCTAAACAACCTCTTTATCAATCCGTTCCCAGATCATTCAAATTTAAGTGTAATCTATTCTTTACTAGGACCCTGACTGGCATAGGTTTGGGCCCAGGACCAGAAGCTGCTCCTGGAAATTGTCCTTCTACATGGGATTCTGGAATTGGGTTGCTCATCTAAGCCGGTTCAGAGACTTGGAATCCCCAGACCAGGAAGACCAGGAAGGGCCTTGCAATGCCAGGTTGCCAGGTAAAATACAGGATAGTTGGTTAAATTTGAGTTTCAGATAAACAGTGAGTAATTTTTTTAGCATAACTTTGCCCTTGGCAATATTTTTTGCTCAATCTGGAAACCCATAGGCTTCGCTAAGCCTTCCCCAGAGGAGCCTGCTGTCATAGAACCAGGGTGACTCTGCACTGGGGAAAGAAATCCTGAGACCTTCTGGGATTATTTGATGATGGCTCCAAATGGATGGTATCCTCTGGAGACCTGAAAATCCACTCAGGCCCACCGGTCAGAGTGGGAGCTTATGGAGATCAGACGCCAGTTACTCAGTTATGTTTAGAGCAGACGTGAAAAAGAGCTAGCTCTTTTTCAGCTCAATGATCTTAATACAATAGAAGTCTCCCAGAACTACAGAATCTGTAATTTTAGAGTCAATTTTAGAATCATTTTGTTGCTGCAGCGTCTTGGCATCCAAGCATCCTACAAGCTGTCTCCAGTAGCTCTGGGAAGTCTTAGCGCCCTGCACTCTTAGATCAGAACATACTGGAATTGGCTTCACTACGCAATGTTGTGGTTTTCAGAGGTTTGTTTACCCACTGAAGTCTATTCTCATGGAATAACTTATTGGCAAGCCGTGATCTATCACCACTTAAAACTAAAACTGTTCAGGGAAGCAGAGCTGGGACACCCTGGACTTACCCTTCTCCCTGTCCATCTCATTTCATTCTTTAAAGCTCTAAGGAATGTTCAGATAGTACAACCTTTCCACTCTACAGAACAGATCTCTGACTGCAGGAGTGGCTAATGAGCAGGGAGTGAGCCAACACTAACTGGCATTCTCTGCCGCCCTCCCCCCTAGGCTGGCTCTCTCCAGAGAAAGGCAAGCCTACATAGGAAGAGAATACCACGTTTGTGGCCCTGGAGGACGGAGGTCCCTTCACCACTCCCAAAAACAGTGCAAGACTGCTTCCTTACTCCTTCCTTCACACCACCTTCTCTCCTATCTCTGTATTTGCTTATAGTATCCCATCCACCTGCAATGTCTTCTTTCCATCTGGCCCCAACAGGAATCATTTGAGGCCTGGCTTAAATTGTGTCTCGTCGTGGGATACTCAGTCGGTTAAGCATCTGCCTGTGGCTGGCTCAGGTCATGATCCCGGGGTCCTGGGATTGAGTCCTGAGTTGGGCTTCCTGCTCAGCAGGGAGCCTGCGTCTCCCTCTGCTTGCTGCTCTCCCTCTGCTTGCTGCTCTCCCTGCTTGTGCTCACTCACTCTCTCTCTCTGAAAAACAAATAAAATCTTTAAAAAAGTTGTATCTGGTTGTGAAGGTTTCCAGCCTACACAGATTTCACAGGGGACAAAAACTTGCTCTGAAATGGATGGTTTAAAAAATTTTCTTAAATAGAAAACCGAAGGACAAACCATAAAGGAACACACTGATAAAAGGACCATATTAAAATTAGGAGACTGTTTTCATAGAAAAGCATCTTTAAAGGAGTGGAAAGGAAAACCACACAGATTATGAGAAGGTATTTCAATTTGCATACCTGACGATTCTTATTCAGAATATAGAAAATACTTCTACTAATTCATAATAAAAAGAAAAACTACAAATGGACAAAATCTAAATCTAAGCAATCTAAAAATGGACAAAAGACATGGTCCAGAACCTCATGATAGAAGATATCCAACAAACATTTGAATAGATGCTCAACCTCCTTAGTCATGAGTAAATGAAAATTTAAACCATAACTATGTGGATTATGGGGAATTATACTCATAAGCAGAATGGCTAACTTAAAGAGAATTAACAGAAAGAAGTGTTGCAATGCCAAATGTGGAAAAACTCTAGCCCTCATACATTGCTGGTTGGTGTGGGTGTAAATTGATGTGATAGGTTTGAAAAATATTTGGCAGTATTTGAACAAGGGTTTGGTGGTTGAACATATACATACCCTATGATCTATGTGTGTATTTCTTTTTTTTTCTTTAAATTTTTTTATTGTTATGTTAATCACCATACATTACATCATTAGTTTTTGATGTAGTGTTCCATGATTCATTGTTTGTGCATAACACCCAGTGCTCCATGCAGAACGTGCCCTCTTTAATACCCATCACCAGGCCAACCCATCCCCCCACCCCCCTCCCCTCTAGAACCCTAAGTTTGTTTTCAGAGTCCATCGTCTCTCATGGTTCGTTTCCCCTCCTACTTACTCCCCTTCATTCTTCCCCTCCTGCTATCTTCTTCTTTTTCTTTTTTCTTAATATATTGCATTATTTGTTTCAGAGGTACA